CATCATATGGACCCACGGAAAAGAAGCCCTTGAGAGGAATTCCACCATTATTTCAACAATTTACATCCCACCATCAACCTCAGCCTGGACCAATCCACACAAGCAGTCCATTTCCTGGACACTACTGTGCTAATAAGCAATGGTCACATAAACACCACCCTATACCAGAAACCTACTGACCGCTATACTTACCTATATGCCTCCAGCTTCCATCCAGGACACACCACACAATCCATTGTCTACAGCCAAGCTCTAAGATACAACCTCATTTGCTCCAACCCCTCAGACAGAGACAAACACCTACAAGATCTCTATCAAGCATTCTTAAAACTACAATACCCACCTGCTGAAGTGAAAAAACAGATTGACAGAGCCAGAAGAGTACCTAGAAGTCACCTACTACAGGACACGCCCAACAAAGAAAATAGCAGAATGCCACTAGCCGTCACCTTCAGCCCCCAACTAAAACCTCTCCAGCGCATCATCAGAGATCTACAACCTATCCTGAAGGATGATCCCTCACTCTCACAGATCTTGGGAGACAGTCCAGTCCTCGCTTACAGACAGCCCCACAACCTGAAGCAAATACTCACCAGCAACCACACACCACACAACAAAAACACTGACCCAGGAACCTATCCCTCCAACAAAGCCCGATGCCAACTCTGTCCACATATCTATTCAAGTGACACCATCATAGGACCTAATCACATCAGCCACGCCATCAGGGGCTCGTTCACTTGCACATCTACCAATGTGATATATGCCATCATGTGCCAGCAATGCCCCTCTGCCATGTACATTGGCCAAACCGGACAGTCTCTACGCAAAAGAATAAATGGACACAAATCTGACATCAGTAATCATAACGTTCAAAAACCAGTAGGAGAACACTTCAACCCCTCTGGTCACTCAGTAACAGACTTAAAGGTGGCAATTTTGCAACAGAAAAGCTTCAAAGACAGACTCCAACGAGAAACTGTTGAACTAGGATTAATTTGCAAACTAGATACCATTAACTTGGTCTTGAATAGAGACTGGGAGTGGCTGGGTCATTACACAAATTGAATCTATTTCCCCATGTTAAGTATCCTCACACCTTCTTGCCAACTGTCTGGAATGGGCCATCTTGATTATCACTACAAACGTTTTTTTTTCCCTCCTGCTGATAATAGCTCATCTTAATTAATTAGCCTCTTAGAGTTGGTATGGCAACTTCCACCTTTTCATATTCTCTGCATGTATATATATCTTCTTACTATATGTTCCATTCTATGCATCTGATGAATTGGGCTGTAGCCCATGAAAGCTTATGCTCAAATAAATTTGTTAGTCTCTAAGGTGCCACAAGTCCTCCTGTTCTTTTTAGTAAACTCTTAAACTGTCTAACAGCATGGATTTCTCTAGAGGTTCTCAAAGTATAATCTATGGTGGCACTTTGTTATAAACCCCTTTATCATTCAAAGCATATTAACTATAAGTGTACATAACATTCATATTTAAACAGGTTTTTAAAAAAAAAGTTGCTCTGTCTGTATAAGAATCCTACAGTAATAACTTAAAACAGTTCTCTGAAATAAAATAAAGCTTCCTAATTAAGTCTATTACCGAATCCACCAATAGCATAATTAACACGCATAAGCAGTAGAAGTTTAAGATGATTATTTCTAATATGATATTTATCATCTCATTTTAGTCTTAACACTTATAACACCAAAAGGATTATTTCTTATTAAGATAGTTCACAGTAATAAAATCCTCACTTACCCTGCTAGAGTAATTACAAACATCTGTACAACTTTAATACAAAGACTGTACGATCCTGAAGGGGATACATTAAGTTGCTTGCATAAAAGAAATCAAAATCTATTTTACCTTTGGGAAAGCATTAGTGATTATTTGTACAAAAATCATTATGGAAAGTCACAGTGAGAGACTTCAAGTAGACAGCAGATATAAATAATGCTCATTTGCTACTTTAGGTCTTTAGCTGTTGGCTATGTAAAATTTGAAGTGATTCCACTTCATACATGAATCAAATGTAACTTTGACTGATTTGATGCTTTTGCTGGTTTCTAATGCAAAGCTCTTGTTCATAAAGATTAAAAACCACAAGCCAACAGTCTTAACACTTTCTTTTAACTTAGGTGCCATTGTTCCCAAGTTTACTGTGGATATATTATAAAGTCAGTGAATATATTGTCATCAGTATAAAAGGTGCTGGCTTTTTGGGCTGAGAGTTGGTTTGGGTTACTGTAGAATTGTTAGGGCAGTAGTATAGGACTGGGAACCGGTAAATTTCTGAGTTCTAATCCCAACTCTATCATTGACTTGTGTATCCCTTTGCAAATCACTTTTTAAATTCATTACTTAATGTTAATCCAGAACTTTGGAAATACAAAGCATTATATAAATACTAAGGCTTCGGTCCAACAAACATGCCTGAGAATAACTTTACTCATAGTGTCATTAAAGTCAATGGTGCTACTCACGTGTATGTTAAGCCTGTGCCCAAGTGCATGATCAGAGCCGTAGTTATTGCTGCTACATAAATTATTTAAAGGAGTAGATGTTTACCTGCAATCCTTAGAGAAGTCTTCCCACTGCCTATAGATCTTAGCTTCCTTGCCATTTGAAGTGCAATAGGCAGTGTTTCCACCTGCTTTCCTCTTGAGGTTCGTGATGAAGACGACTGGTAAAGTTTGTTATAAAAAGTCAGTAGGTAGCCAAGGAAACCAGGAAGCATCTTCACACCTTTTTTCTTTTTTTCTTTTTCTTTTTTTTGTCTCGGGCAGTTCTTAATGCCCTCTCCCTGCCCCACCTGTGGCCTCCCCACATCTTTTCATATCACGTTTGCAAGGCAGTGGGCTTCTTCTCTCCACCACTTTCAAGTTGGTGGCTTAATGGGGCGGGGGGCACTCAAATGTTCTGCTAGATAGCTATTACATTGTTTCATATATTCCCTCCAGTCTGCCATTGAGACAGCTAGGTCCTCTAGGTGAGGGAGGCAACAGGGATCAGTGGATAGGCCACTAGACTGGGAGTCAGGAGACCAGAAGTCTATTTCCATTCTGCCACCTCAAGTAAGTCACTTATCTTTCTGTCTATTTTTCCCATCTATGAAAAGAAATTAATGCTACTCAGCCATCTCTTGTACAATGGTTTGAGATATACCGAGAAAAGGCTTATATAAGAGTAGGGTATTATTGTTCAGATGTGGTAGACTGCCTTACATCTCCCTGGGTAAGTCCATTGTCTGATCAGATATTATTAGTACCCCATGTAGACCAAATGATATAACAATAAGCTACAATAAGCCCATAGGATTTTCAAAAGCAAACTGTCCTTTAGATATTGATCTCATAGGCTAGTATCTTTCACAGAGGTCTAAGGTGCCAGCAAACTTCCTTTCCCAGGCATTCTAGCACCTTTTTGATCTGTGGTAGTGGTAATGGACAGTGTGAAATGACATTTACTTTATGCTAGTCACAGAAATGGATGCCACTTTAAAAAAATCATTACTAAAGGATTGGACTATGTGCTCTGGGAGACCACCGTGATATAAGGAGTGAGAAATTAGGTCCTAGTCCTACAATTAGGTCCATGTGGGCACAAAGGGCTGCTGGTTTCCCTGAGATCTCTTTCAATTTGTCCATCTCTGCAACTTCTCCTATCTGGCTCCTATATAGGTCCTATATCAGGTTCTTCCTTGCAATTGTCTTGCCAGCAAGGGACCCTTCTGGTCATCTTCCCATTCATTCCACACTTCCAATAAAATATGGGGGGGAAAGTTCACAGGGACTTCATTTGACCAGGCATTCAGAACTTGAACCTGTGCTTACAAACACTTATACCTGTGAGAAATCCCATTGAATTCAATGAGACTACTCACTTGTATAAAGCTAGGCATGTGTATGAGAGTTTTCTGGATTGGGGCCCCCTGTTTAAAGCTGCATTAGCCTTGTTCATTTCTCCAGCCTTAGCCACTATGTTGCTAATTAGCTAGTGACTTCACTGAGGGTAGGAAACTAATGTTTTCTGGCCTGTTGACAGTTCTAGTTTTTAAGACATACTGATACAACCACCTCTTTGAAACACTGAGGAATGTGTTGTGATGTGGTTGTATCAGCATGGCTACTATAAAGGAGAACTCTGCCTCTCCAACCCATTAACATTCTCTGGGAGAATCCATAGAGTAGTGAATGTGGGAGAACCACTGGATATGATTTAGCTGAACTTTCAAAAAGCCTTTGAGGGGATCCCTTGCAAGAGGCTATGAAGGAAACGAAACAATCGCAGGGTGAGAGGTAAAGATCTACCACGGATTAAAAATTGATTGAGAGAGAAAACAAAAAATAGGAATAATTGGCTAATTTTCAAGCTCGTCTGCAATTTACTCATGCCATATGTAGGCTTCTAGGGCAATGAGCCAGCCCAGCCACATAACCCTGGGCTATCCCCAGGTGTAGACTATTTACTCATATTACCTACAGCTTCTTTCAGGGGCCTCTCATTTCTGAAGTCTAAGTAATTTCAGTGGCAATACTTAGGATTCTTGGATCTCAGGCCTGGATGACTCATTCTAGGTGTAGCTTCCCCTGGGTTCCATCAGATTTCTGTTTGGTCTTTTCCCTCACAGGTGAATGACTGTGGGAAGGGGGAAGTGTCTGCACTGATTTCCTCTCAGTCCTTGAAGTAGGCGAAACAGCCAAATGAATGGATGAGTGATAGGGAAAGGGAGCAACAAGGGAAGCAGAATGATTGTTTCCCATTAGCTAGTACCTGCTTCTCATTGCTTTAAAGTTGCAATGCAAGGGTGGGGATACAGTGGAGACAGAGCATGGGTTTGTGGTCTGGGCTTTGCTCTCATTGATGCTGGATTACTCCCTGACATGGACATGTTAAAACCATGTTTAAAATAGAATTTGTTCGTGCAAAGCAGATTTAAACATCAACAGGTGAAATATTTCAAGTAAGGCCTGCTCCTTTTGTATTTCCGTATGGAATTTTGCATTAGTCAGTACTGGAGAACCTCGCTAATCCATAGGCCTTATTATTTTGTAGAAGAGGAAAACAACATTGAGGAAGCCATGGAGAGACTTCCAGCACACAAGAAATGTCCAAATGGTAACAAGTTGGCACAAAAGAGATTGGTTCAAAAAGTGAACAAGTGTATTCAAGTTGACATGGACTTAGAAGAGGAGTCCCTCAGTGCAGATCAGTGCACTGCTACAACTATCTGCCCTCTTGAAACTCTAACCCTTTCACGGCAGCCACTAAGAACTTCAGAGAACTCTCTATCCTCCCAGCTACCGGCCTGTTCAGCACTGCCAAGGCAGTGTGCGTCTCCACATCCTGCTCTGCCACCATCACCACTGCCCCCGCCACCCCCTCTGTGGCCTTGCGTTGGGCGAAGTACGGTACCTATGCCACCCTCTTATCCCCCATCATGCAGTAATGCTGCACCTGATGGTGCTTCTTCTGGACATGAAAGCGAGCCTTGTCCTAAGAAGGCAAAGACACCAACATTACGAATGAAGCCATTTGACTGGCAGAAGCTTCCCTGGGATGTGGTGAGAGGTAGGTGCTTGTAACACTGCATTCATTTAATGACTTTACAACTCTTTAAGAAAAACATCACCACCAAAGGTTAGGCCCTGATCACCACAAGCTGCTCCAAGTGGGTGGCTCCTTACACCTGCTCTGAGTCGTGTCTCCCCTTCCCCTCCCCACCCCCAGCAAGCATCCCACTGCATAGTGGGGCTTGAGAAACTGGGCTTTTAGTTAGTAGAAATATTTGCTTGAGTCAGAGAGCCTTGGGGGTGAAGCACAGGACTGAGAGTCATAAGATCTGTGTTCTGTTTCTAGCTCTGCTAAGTGAGGCCTTTGACATGTCACTCAACCAATCTCTCTCTCTCTCTGCCTCAGTTTCTCTTCCATAAAATGGGGTTATTACAGAGGGGTGTAGAGACTTTACTAATTTACTGTTTTTAAAGATTTTTGCATAGAAGGGTCTACAGTACTACAAATTCATTTAGAGAGCACACTAATGTTTTAGCAATGAACTTCACCAATGTGTGGTATAGGTTTTTTTTAACTGATGTTCTGACATTATTATTATTTTTGATGGAAGCAGCGAAACAGATCTTGCACTGCCAGAAAACATCAGTCACCAGCCCATTTCCAGGAGAGTTTATGCAGCCTTGGGAGTCCTTAAGTATTTTAGGCAGAGATGTTAACCTAATTTGAGCTCAATGTCCTGTGTGCGCATATTGCTACTCTGCAATATGTAGCCGATCAGCTAGAGCAAACAGAAGTTAGTAGAATCCATTTAGCTCGGCTGCTGTCTTCAGTTCATTTAATTACAAATGGCTGTAGTTTTCCTGATTTAATTGGCCTTCATACTTTTGGGATCTTGTCTGTGGGAACTGCTGCTCTTAGATAATTTCCCAGTGTTTCCCTTTTAGTAAGTAGTATTGCATTGAACATGATGTGCTGAGTTTACAGATGTCTCTGTAGCCAGTCTTGTTACCTTAACTTTTTCAGAAAGTCGCTCCATGTGGGCTTCAGTGACCAGCAGCAGTGATGACGTTATAGAACCTGATTACACAAGCATAGAGCAACTCTTCTGTGTTTCACAAACAAGCCCCAAGGAGACAGCAGTACCCAAAATAAAGGAATCAAAAGAGGTACATGGGCATGCCTCACTTCTGGCTAATGCAAAGATCATGGAAATGACCCACCTAAAATGAAAGACTTTTCTTTTTAGTTGTCTCCTGTGTTTTTATACCATAGTTGACTCTTTATTCTTATTAGCCTTTCATAACGCAGTAAGATGCCAGGGATATAGTCCCTCCCCGTGCCTTTGATAGCATATGGCATATGCTTTTAGGGCATATGATAGGCAGTGTTACAGTAAACAATATTTCATTAGTGCCAATGAAGGTTACATGCAGTCTTGTGGGTGGGTACTGACTGGGAGTCAGGCATGCTGGGGTACTCTGCCCCCTTACAGTCTTTGGACAAATGGCTTCTCCTTTCTGTGCCTCAGTTTCTCTAGCTGTAAGCAGATGATACTTGCACTCCTTTGTGAACTGATTTGAGCTTAACGTATGAAAAGTGCCATGTAAGTAATATAAACCAGATACACTAAAATCAAAAAGCCCTTGCCTATATTTTATTAAAATCAAGGAAAATGTTTCTTCTCATCTGATTGCGTTTTTTGACACAGATCACATTTATAGATATGAAGAAAAGCCTCCTCTTGAACATATTTTTGAAGCAATTTAAATGGTAAGATTTGAAGAGTACCTCATTGTTTGAATAAAATACAACCATGGTATGCAAATCAATTCAACAGTAATATTTTAGATCCCCTAAAGTATCTTTATTAGGGAGTCAAAATGTGTTTTCTTTTAAAACAGTAACATGCCTGGCAATATATTCCTGGACCAAGTCCAGGACTGTGCTATAGGACCTAAGGGTGAATGGGCTAAGCATCCAGAAAGGGAATATTCATACATAATAACAAAGGAATCTTTCAGATTGGTGCATCTGCTGGGCATTAGTGACATAAATGTTAATTGCTGACATCAAATGTGCATGGAGATTCCTGATTGGAAGTTCTAAATCCATTTAATAATTTAAAGAAACACTTCAAGTAATTTAGACCCAAAATGTAGTCAGTCTTGAGTCATCTTTTCTTTCAAGAGAAAAATACCCTACTAATTAATAGTAGAATGTTGTCAAAATCATGGGCTGAATTAGCCCATAGGATGCTGCGAAGGGGAGGAGATCGCAGCAGGTCCTTGGCCAAATCTCTTCCACAGAGATTTCCCCACGTGATCACATGGTGAAGGTGCACTTTCTACACACACACCATGTAACAGGACATCTCCACTGGAGCCACACTGCAATGTACTCCTACCGGGCCATGGTTACTCCAGGACCCACCTTTAAGAGGAAATCGGTACCATGGAGGGAATGTCCCGGAAAAGATAACTCAGCCCCAGCCTGTATTAACTTAGTATAAATGCTGCACTGTGTGTGTGTGATGTAGGGGCGGGAGAGTGGAAAGAATGGCATGTAGCCCATCCAGTCACTGCTTCCTCCCTCTGCATGGACCCTAAATGTAGAGAGAGGCCCACGTGGGATCAGAGAGAGGTTGGGATGGTGTTGCAGAGCTAGCTGAGCCTGCCCTTCCATTTGTGAGTGATGAGATCCACGTAAGAATGACCTCTTCTGCTCTCAGCTTGGTGGTCATGCTCTACCCCAATTAGTATAGCAGCTGTGGTTTTGCAGAACCAACACCAGAATTTTTTGGATTCAAGTCAAATGTATCTTGTTTCACCAAGTTTGGGACAGCAGGGAGAGGTCAAGAGAGGGTTCGGATAAAACATTCTGGTTTGGGCCCATCCCAAACTAGTGAAATGTCTTCATTAAAGCAGAAGGAGAGTTGTCTTTTGCTTTGACTTCTCTGAAAGGTGGCGGGGGAGGGAGAGGAGGAAGCTGGCAGGGGGAGAATCTTTGCCTATGATACTGGAAACTCAACCAAATGGAGCCCTCTAGGTTCAGTGTGCAAACCAAGTGAAGTTCAAAATGTTGCCAAGAAACATAAACAAACAAACAGTGACAAATACATTAGGCTTCTAAAATTCTTCCCGTTTTAATAATCTAAGCAGGAATGTACCAAGAACCTATCTTGACAGTTTCCCGCTTAGTATCATCCTATTTTTCTAGCACACCTATGATCCTAGAAGTAAAGGTAGGTAAGCGCAGTAGAGGGGAAAAGCAGTAACTTCCATTTGACCTTGATCCATTACTGATACAATGTTAGCTGCAGAATCGGTTCCTCTTATTTTTGGCATGTTACTCCTAGTTCTACTGTAGCTTTTAAGTCTTTCCTGCAGCTCGAATGAGGAGGTTGCTGACATGATTGAGAAAGGGGACAGGACCAAGTTTGATGCTGACACTCTGAAGCAGCTAATTAAGCTACTGCCTGAAAAGCATGAGGTATTGACACTATTTATTAATACTTACACATCTACAGTGTGCTTGGTTCTGTATAAAATACAGACGAAGTCACAATCCCAGCTCTTAAGATAAGAACATATCAGAGGGTGGAGATGGATGGCAGGAGAGAGATCACTCATGTTATGTTCTTAAAACACTGGGTTTAGCACAGTGGTTCTTTTAAATTGGCTGGGTGATAATCTAATGTTAAAATATGTTAGCACTGTGGTTTTCAACCTCTTTTCATTTGCAGACCCCTAAAATTTTTTGAATGGAGGTGCAGACCCGTTTGGAAATCTTAGACTGCGGTCTGCGGACCACAGGTTGAAAACTTTTGTTCTTTGGTAACAACCCCTTAGACATAGTCTGCAGACCCCCAGGGGTTCATGGACCATAGGTTAAAAACCACTGTGCTAGCATATATATGCTTCTCTAAAGAAGCCAGATTTCCAGAGGGACTTTAGTGATAAGGAGGGAACCTTTAAGTTCAGATGTGGCTGCCTAACTTGGGTGTATATTAATATTCATTTGTCTGGTGATAGATCCTCAGACCCCTCAGTCACGGACACAGACCCCATTGTGCTGGTTGCCGTACAAACACAGAACAAAAAGATGGTGTAAGATCTTTAGAGCAGAGACCATCTATGAATTCGCACTCACAAAATGGTCCTTGCATGCCCAATTGCCCGCCTTGTCCATTGAAATACTCATTGATATGTGCAGCATTAGGCAGTCACTTTTGAAAAGTGGGCTCTGTGAGTACGGAATGCAATTACCAAATGCAATTATTAGTGTTAACGGATTTATTCCTTGTTAGATAGAGAACCTGAAATCCTGCAAAGAAAAAGCAAAACTAGCAAATGCAGACCAATTTTATCTCCTCCTCCTTGGGATTGCTAGGTAAGGGAAAACTTCACTGGTGTGTGTGTGTGTGAGTGTGAGAGAGAAAGAAAGAGTGAGAGAGAGAGAGAAAAAAAACCTCTCTCTCTCTCTCTCTCATTCTCTATCAACATGGATCGTCCCTGGGGACTAAGCCCACAACACTAGAAGCATGTGCCTCTCCTGCTTAACCTTAAGTAGCAACTCCTCTATTTGCAGCTGTAGTAGACTCCTTTCTTCTCTGCACCAGCCACTGTCAGGGGTCACATAATATACACTAAATAGTGGATTATTTGTGTGCCAGGCAGTGTTTGACCAGAGGAGCAGCCTTCCTGAATTAACTGGGCAGACTGGCAGACATACTGTCATCTTTGTACTATTTATGAGAACACTGTGATGTTGTAAATTGTAGTGATGTTCTACAAAAAATCTGAAGGTTTGACTATTCTGCATTCACAGAGAGACTGTTTTTAACTTTCTGCAAAATGCTGTAGAAATGTTTATATCTGTAGTTTATATCTGTCTCGAACTGCATTTATTGCTTTAAAATAACCCTTTTAAAATGCTTTCTTGGCTATTCCAACATTCGTATACATTACTGTGCATCACTGAGCAGGATTCAGGATTTCCATGCTGGCAAATACTGCCTCTCATTTAAGAGGAGCAGCACAAACCCCAGACAAAGCTGTATAACAGGAAGCAGTGTGGTTTAGTGGACTGGGACTCAGGAAACCTGGGTTCTATTCCCAGGTCTGCCATTTGCCTGCTGGGTGACCGTGCGCAAGTCATTTCACCTCCCTATGCTTCAGTTTCCCCATTTGTAAAGTGCTTTGAGATCTACTGATGGGAAGTGCTAAGTATTATTATTTTATTACCATAACTGCTATGATGTGTTTTTCTTGCATAGGTTGCAATATGATGTTGCCTTTGTGGGTGTTCTGGTGGGAGGGGGCATGATAATTGTTTATAGGACACTTGTCTAAATGTCTAAAACATTTGATTTATTTGTTTGATTTATTTGTAATCTAATCCAACGAGGGAAATATCTCACGTGGTGGCATTAAGAGAACAAGATAACACTTGCGCTGGTCTTAGTTCAGCAATGTGTTGCTGTCATGCTAGACGTGCTTCAGCTAAGCACGTCTGTATTTCTTGCATTGACTTTCTCTTTTAGCTACCAGTTGCGAATTGAATGTATGCTGTTATGTGAAGAGACAAGCAGTCTGTTAGATTTGCTATGGCCTGAAGCACAAATGATCAGGAGAGCCTGTGAAAGTAAGTGGGATGCAATCGTATCAGTGCTTTGTGCTAAGAGCCAAGTGAAAACTCACCATTAGTTGAAATGAAATGACACCTAGGCCGAGCGAGTCTCTTATTATCGAACAGGAAGCTCTGCGGAAGCACTAGCCACAGATTCCCATTTCTGGAATAATGCAGAACTGCAATTTGTACAGTTCAGCTGTGAGACGGAACACACAGAATGGGGGAATGCTTCTAGCAGATTGTGAGTAAAATATAGGTGTGCTGACTAACTCCTACCAAAGATCTCCACTAGTGAGGGGGAAGGTCCCAAATTCTACATATAGACCGTTTGTTCTTTGTTTTAATGTAGGCTCATTTTTTGTGTGTGCAAAAACCATCACTTTTTTTTAACCATTGGGAACATGCACAGAAAAACACCTGATGTTGACCCTTTTGGCTTGATGCACTTCAGAAATTGTTCAAGCAGTTCTTCCTCCTATTGATTAATTTATACACAGACATATTCTAAACTTAAAGGGAAGATCAACTTTCCACACAACTATACAGCCCAAGCCTACTTGGGACACTTTTATTCAACTTATTTATTCCTGTTTCTTTTTGCATGCACAAACGAATTCTATGTCTGGCACGTTTCCAAAGCCATAAAAATACTGGCCCTGCATAATCCGAGAAAAGACTTTTGTGCAACCCCTGTTTAAACTTCAGGAAAATCCAATTTCAAAGTCCTTCATTGAATTTATTTAAACTGTCCATTTTAATTTTTTTAGCACTTCTTACCAGTCACCGGCTGCCCATTTTCTGTCAGTTGATTCTTAAAGTTGGAAACTTTCTGAACTATGTAAGTAAGGCTTTTAAAAATCATTACGTTTTTATAGATGGCAAAATATAATTGCAATCCAGTCTCCTGTGTATGTATAAAATAAAAATAACAAAAATTGAATAATGGAGCTTTTATTTTAAGCTGAAACAAGGATTTTATTTGATTTTATCTATCTTTTAGGGGCGTCACACTGGAGATGCTGGTGGTTTTAAAATTAACACTTTGCTCAAACTAACTGAAACCAAAGCAAACCAAACTCCTATTACTCTGCTCCACCATATTTTGGAGGTACCACTGCAGTTTCTTACTGGGAAGTTAGTCTTGCATGTAATATATTTCCAGACGTACAATCAGCTAATGTTAATGTGCTTTAATTTAAAATGTACCTCACTTACATTTTAAGATCTGCTCCTGTACCTGTTGTTGACAAAGGTAGATTTGCCATTGATCTCAGTGAGGACAGGATCAGATCCATATACAGTACCATCTAAATTATACCGAGGTCCTATTCTTCACTTAACGTATAAATGGCCATACTGAGTCAAACCAATGGTCCATCTAGCCCAGAATGCTGTCGTACGACAGTGGCCAGTGCCAGATACTTTAGAGGGAATGAACAGAACAGGGGAATTTATCAAGTGATCTGGTCTCTGTCGTCCAGTGCCAGCTTCTGGTAGTCAAAGGCTTGGGGACATACCGGAACATGAGGTTGAATCCCTGACCATATTGGCTAATAGCCATTGATGAACCCATCCTCCATGAACTTATCTTTTTTGAACCCACTTATATTTTTGGCCTTCACAACATCCCCTGGCAATGAGTTCTACAGGCTGACTGTGCGTTGTGTGACAAAGTACTTCCTTGTTTGTTTTAAACCTGCTGCCTATTAATTTCATTGGGTGACCCCTGGTTCTCATGTGAAGGGGTGAATAACACTTCCTTAGTCACTTTCTCCACCCATTCATGATTTTGTAGACCTCTAAAATATTGCCCCTTAGTCAGGGGCGGATTAGGGTTTTGTGGGACCCCTGGGCCAGAGCAAGTTGGGGCCCCTCCCCACCTCTTCCGCTTGCAGTCCCCCCGGGCTCCTGCCAGGGTGCGGGGGCTTGTAGGAGTGCTGGGTGGGTGGAGTGGGGCAAGCCCCCGCTCCCCGGCTGGAGTGCTGGGCAGGTGGAGCTGTCAGAGTGCGGGGGTCCCCATTTTTCTGGGCCCCCCCCAATTGGCCGGAGCCCATGGGCACAGGCCCAATTGGGCCAATGGCTAATCTGCCACTGCCCTTAGTCATCTCCTTTTTTCTTATCTGCACAGTCCCAGGTTTTTAACCTCTCTTCATATGCCCTCTCTTGATATGCCCTCTGTTCCATGCCCTTAATCATTTTTGTTGCCTTTCTCTTTATTCCAATTCCAATATCTTTTGTTGTTGTTGTTGAGATGAGTTGACCAGAACAGCCCACAGCATTCAAGGTGTGGGCGTATCATAGATTTATATAGTGGTTTTATGATCTTTTCTCTTATTTTCTATCCCTTTCCTAATGGTTCCCAACATTGTTCGCTTTTTCGACTGCTGCTGCACATTGAGTGAATGTTTTCAGAGAATCATCCACAATGACTTCAGCTCTTTCTTGAGTGGTAACAGCTAATTTAGACTCCATCATTTTGTATGTATAGTTGGGATTATGTTTGCCACTATGCATTACTTTGCATTTATCAGCTTTGAATTTCATCAGCAGTTTTGTTGCCCAGTCACATAGTTTTGTGAGATCCCTTGATAACTCTCCGTAGTCAGCTTTGGACTTAACTATCTTGAGTAATTTTGTATCATCTGGAAACTTTGCCACCTCACTGTTTTCCCAGATCATTTCCCTGGATCACCCTTGTCCACATGCTTGTTGACACCCTCAAAGAATTCTAATAGATTGGGGAGGCATGATTTCCAGTTTCTAAAAGCTTCTTTAATGTAATATCTCCTTGCTGCTCCTTTTGTCTCCTCCTCCTATCTTTGCACCTTCATTCATGCTATTCTCATGCTAGGGCCAATCTGCCAAATGAAATGAATTTTCTGTCCTCTATTAGTGAGAGACAGAAGGTCAGGTTCTTGCATCGCACGGGATGGCTGGTGAACATTGGCCACAAGCCCTGGCGAGCATCACCCCAGTGAAAGGTGATCTTGCAAGTGGCATAGAGCTGGAACAGAGGCTTGTATGGCCCACATTCTCTCTGGTGCTGGCAAGGCAGGAAAAGGGGGTGTGGTTAGAAGAAAGGTGTCTTCAGGATGCTCCTTTGCCATGCCATTCCTGGGTTGCATTTTTTGCCCCCTTGTAGGTGTAATAGACCAGCGCAAATCAGAACAGTCATCCGGTTGCTTTGTCAACACAGTGCAAATGGAGAGCAGCTATAGGAACACACTAGGGTCAGAGCAATTCAAAGGAAACTTTACACATACACCTCTGATTTGACTTCTATGTGTTTTGGCTCTGCCCAAGAATCTGTTTCAAGAAGAGTTTCTTGTTAGGTATGTGGAGGATCTAGCATGGAGCACTTACTATAAGATGCAGCGTTTACCCTATATGTACCAATTATCAGATTACAACATAGTAGAGTTAGATAAACTGATATTCCCCGTATGTACAACTATGAGACTGTTTAAATCAGTGTAGTAATAATAGGGCTAAACTTACCCCAATATGTGGAAACCGTACTTTCTCAGTTCTCACTTTTTTAAATTAAGTGTCTCGGTGCCCACATGTATAAGGAAATGCACTATACAAAATAAACAAATTTCACTTACATTTTAGGAAGTTGAAAAAAACCATACGGATCTACTACAGCTTCCCAATGACCTTGAATGTGTTTCAAAGGCAGCAGGGTATGACTTTTTTTTTTTTTTTTTTTAATCTTTAATGTGGGATTCATAAAAGTACTTAGTCACATAAACCCCAAACTTAGGTGCCTAAAACAGGGACGTAGGCACTCAAGTCCCAGTTTTGGCTCTACTGTAATCCGCAAAACTCCTGTCGAACCCTGTAGACACCTAAACTTGCTCTGAGTCTATGTTTCCAGAGTCAGATTTCCCAAAGTGTCTATAATTCTGCCTCTGAACATGTGCACTGCTGCAGACTGCCTAATCCCCCAGAGTGATTTCACAAACCAGTGGAAGCTGGGCATTTGGCTGCATAAGTCATACGCAGGGCCTGATCTGACCAGTAGGCATGCTCAGAGGCATCCTGCTGGATCGGGTCCGATTCAAAATTTGGCTGGATGAGGAGCCGCTGCCATCTGCCTTATAACTTTGTAGCTCAGTGGTTGGAGCACTTGCCTGGGACATGGGAAAGCCAGGTCCCATTTCCCCCTTCTCAGGCAGAAGTGGAGAAAGAATATAAACACTCAAGAACAGTTCTCTAACCACTGAGCTATGGGATATTCTGAGGTGGGGCTCCCTCAGTTAGAATCATAGAATATTGGGGTTGGAAGGGACCTCAGGAGGTCATCTAGTCCAACCCCCTGCTCAAAGCAGGACCAATCCCCAGACAAATTTTTGCCCCAGATCCCTAAATGGCCCCCTCAAGGATTGAACTCACAACCCTAGGTTTAGCAGACCAATGCTCAAACCACTGAGCTATCCCTCCCCCTTTCTCCTGCTAAAGCTATTCCACTATGGATAAATAATGAAAGAAAGACTGGACCCAGGGTCTCACCTTTTAGGGGGGTGACCATAACCACTGGACTACAGAGTAATTTTCTTTCTTTCTTTTGCCCAATGACTAAGTATTTATCCAAAGAGGAACACAGTCATTGAGGGAACATCACATCAGAATTAACATTATAATTGGTGCTGATTTATGCTATATGCATTCATAGAAACTGTATTCTAGGAGTCTGATGTTTTCCTTGCAGCTAGTCACTGAAAGAAACTCCATCTGGAGATGGACTCACATGGTCAAGCAGTTGCTAAATAATTAAATGCAAAGAGCGTATTAATTTTAAGAAAATAGGGAGCATTTTGGCTTTATCTTAAATTCTGAAGAAGTAGCTTGCTAATGCTGTTGGAAGGTAAAAGTATAAATATCCCATTACCTAAAGCTCAAATATGAGTATTGTTAGTATAAATATGCTCATCATATATTTATTAATTTAATGGTATTGGGGTTAAGCCAGTCCGTGAGAATTTTCAAAAAAATTGCAAACCAAAAATCCTGTTGATTTAAATAGATATCCAGGTTTTCATTTGTAAATATGAAAGGAGGGGCGGCTTTAATGCTGCTTTAGCGGTTTATGTTTGGATGTACAGTACAATTCTGCCTCATGTTATGTGGATACAATGCTTTGCCTACCATGAAGGGATAATCAGAAACTGGAAGGTATGTTGGGACCCCTATGCTGCCGCCACATATGCTTTTGAGGTTCCCCATGAGCACAGAGGTCCACCCATTGGGATGCTATTGCAGGATTGGGATTTTACATCCTTCCTCTGTTAACAAAACAGGCTAGTCATTATATTGTTTGCAATCCTCTTGGTTTACTACCTTCCTGTGCAATTTTCAGAACCAACTTTGAAGTTATGAAGGCAGAGGCAGATGCCCATTTAAAGAAACTTTTGAAAATTGAGCATAACATGTCATCAATAGAGGATTTAAAAGCACAGTATGGAAAATCTATTCAAGTAAGTGACATGGGTCTGATCCATCTCATGCTTTCCTCTTCCAAGATGTCCTATATCTCTAGGAGGTCACAAACAGGTCAGAAGAAGGGGTGTACCTTTATACCTAGATTGGAGGAGGGTCCTGAACCCTTTTTCAGAGTTCATGTGCAGTCACAGTATGGAAATGGTTGAACCACTGGTTCATTTAATCCCCCCCAAAAGCTAAAATTAAGCCTAGGATTCTACAGTATACAGATGTACCACTGCGGCATGACATCGTCTAGAAAAGCAGAGGAGTTATTTCTGTTTTTTTACTTGAAAAACTGTTCACATTCCTGAAGAACAGAAAGGTTCTTTTGTATGCATTTATAAGCATTGATTATCATGGGTCCAATCTAACTCTGCTTAACTTAACATAACAGAATCAGGCCCTTCCTATGTTTAGAAAGTAGGTGCATCTTAAACAAAACTAAACCCTTGTATATGTATTGCACATCTCCAAAGTAAATAATTCACTATCACACCATCCTTCAGCGTCTGTCATATTATAAAGAGATACTCTTAAAGCAGGGTAATATTAATTAAGGGCATGGAGGCAGTCGTGTTCCTCATAAATCTTCTGCTTAGCCATGTAATGCTGGCCAAGAACGCCAAGTGGTCCTGTTGTGACAGTGACACTACATGATGTGTTAGGGGTAGGTGAGGTTCCCCAATAGTTACACACTTTTGAGGAAAACAACAAGTAATGTAATTACAAGCAAAGTAGCATTCTGTAACTAGTTCTAACTTTCCATGAATTGCTGTGTTTCCAAAGCAAGCAGTACTTAGAGTTCTGTCTGATTTTCTAAAAGCTATTGCACTGATTTGTCTCACTCCCCTTGAGACTTCCGGGTAATTGAGATGCATGTTGCTTTTAACCTGAATAAATTGCATTGTAAATATGCCTCAGGGCCATATAAACCGTTGGAAAGAACTGGAGGAGGAGCTTGCCACCATTGAAAAGAAGAAGGCAGAACTTGCGGACTACCTCTGTGAAGATCGAAACAAATTGTCATTAGAAGATGTGTTTAACACAATGAAAACCTTCAGGGATTTATTTATCAAGGCACTAAAGGTGGTTTACACTTGTGAATAATTAGGGCTAGATTGTGATTTGAACTTATCACCCATGCATGGAAGTATGAATTCCCCTTCCCTTCTAGGCCCCTTTACACCAATATATGGGCTACCCAGACCTTGGATCTGAGTGCATAGGAGTCAATGGGGCTATTCACCTGCTTATGTTCCCCCCACCTCCAAGCAGGTGTGCAGAGAATGAGTGAACAAACTACTACAAAAATCCACTATTTGTAACAAAGAATTAAGGACGCTCCAATCTCTTGGGCTCTCCTTTAAATGACTGGCTGGCCTCAGTGAAGTAAAAGCTAGTGATGTGTAAAAGTGAGTAAGCAAAACTGATACATTTTTAGAAGAGAGTAAAGATCTTACTGAATAGCAAGACTCAAAACATGATAGGGAAGGCCTACCCGGTGTTTACTCTGAAGAGCCTTCATTCTACCACTCATCCCAACAGCCCAGTGACTGAGCCACAGCCGTGGGTATCAAGTGAAGAAGCATGTTTGGAATAGCTTTTGCTTATAACTGCCAATATCTCCGTCAGCTCTTCTCCAGTTAACTTTTCTCTTAGATGTTTTATTTCACATTCTGTCTGGATGTTTGGACGTAGGAAAACCAAGAAAGGAAGGAACAAGCTACAAAGGCAGAGAAAAGAAAGAAACTGCTGGAAGAGGAGGAAGCTAAGCGGCAAAAAGGAGAATATGGAAATATCAGTAAGTCTCACAAAAGTATTTTGGACTGATTTGCTACTTTTAAGGAGAATGTATGTCTCTATAGATGTGGATGATCTGATTTGTGACTGAAAAAGCATTGGTTAATTCTCTAAGTCCTTGGCATACTTATTCCATCAGATATGGAAGAAATAAAAAAAACCCACTAATTTTGAAGCCCTTTTCACACAAGGATGATAAAAATGTACACACCTCTTTTCTTACACCCCTCACAATGGGGCTAGAGCTGAAAATAATCACCCATGGTAAACAATGCATTAGCAGAAATAGAGGCTAATTTCAGTTTGGAGGCTTCTGATTTCTTTGCATTTCTTTTAACACTCATTTGCATCTTTTTAGGATATGACTCTGTTAAGGAATATTTGAAACTAAGCTGTGTTGGGCAAAGCACATGTTACTCTTCCCCTTCTCATCCTTTCCCTCCCCCCCCCCAATTAGGGCTCTGATTCAGCAAATGCTTAAAGTTAAGCATATGCTTTGCTGAATAGGAACTGGATGACTTGCATTCTTAAAGTTAAGCATACACCTAAGTGATATGCATTTTTAGTGTAAATGTGTGCATGTGTAAATTTAAAATTCCATTTATATTTTAAGTTCACTTTACATGAAGGTTTGTGCCAGTAAAATTTGATCACTTGATTGTTCAGAGATTGAATGTAAAAGGAGTATTAGCACAGCTGAACGGGATTCATGTAAATGTTTGATTGGATGTTCACACACAAATATTTTGCATTTTTCAACAAGCTCTGAGTACGAATCTGTGACCAAAAAAGCTCAATTCTTCTTTAGTCCTATTTGTTTTAACGTCTATTCCAGTTATTGATCTTTAGAAACTTCTTCTAAAGAAAAATCTGAATGTTGATAACCAACCACAAGAGGGCCAAGATTGTCATTGGACAGACTGTATTTCCAATATGTTGTGTCATTAGCACGTAACAGTACATTTAATGTAAACTTATATTTAATATAGTCTTACTAATTAGAATAATCTACATTTTACTGTAAATACAGAAAGTAATTTAATATATTGGAAAGTTACTTAAATATAAAATTAAGAGTGAAATTTACCCCCTATGCAGAGAGACAGCACAAGGCCCTCTGCACCATTTAAGCACTCCAAATTGGGTTTAAGAAGGACTCAAGCAGTGTTGGCCCACTGCATCAGGGTGAATTTCATCCTATATGGGTATAACAGAACAAGGAGTAATGATCTCAAGTTGCAGTGGGGGAGGTTTAGGTTGGATATTAGGAAAAAAACTTTTTCACTAGGAGGGTGGTAAAGCACTGGAATGGGTTACCTAGGGAGGTGGTGGAATCTCCTTCTTTAGAGGTTTTTAAGGTCAGGCTTGACAAAGCCCTGGCTGGGATGATTTAGCTGGGAATTGGTCCTACTTTGAGCAGGGGGTTGGACTAGATGACCTCCTGAGGTCCCCTCTAACCCTATTCTATGATAACTCAAACATGAGTTGGGAATCTGGACTGAAGTTTCTTCCTCAATATTTATTGCAGAAAACTGTATGCCTAGCTACTTCAGCACTTGTGGGCATTCTTAGCTGCCATTCCTATTCACGTTGAGTTTTATTAAAGTAAGCTAGGGGGACTATCAGCTCTGATAAAGTTAGAACCTGGGTGTTATTTAAGCTCCTCTGAAAATTCCCATCCTATGTATACACCTAGACATTTTAGAATCATAATAATGGTGTTTTGGGTTGTTTGTTTGTTTGTTTGTTTGTTTGTTTGTTTGTTTGTTTGTTTGAAATAGATGAACTAGATTTCTGTTTTAAGGAGGAAAAATTGGATGGCAATGGATTAAGTGAAGTCCTATTAGCATGCACTGACCGGATTCTTAGGCCTTGATCCAGCAGAGAGTTAAGCACATGCTTAATTTTGCTCAGTGCGTAGTTCTATTGGAGTCAATAAGACTACTCATATTGTATAAAGTTAATTAAGTGCATAAATCTTTGCTGGATTGGGACCTTAATCTTTGATTTACTGACACAAATGACTGTCACAAGTTCCTTCAAGCCAATATCTGGTTTCTGTATCTGTGCATATAATTGAGGATCACATATCTGCAGATGACAGACAGGCCCTTAGCTGTAGCGGTCTCTCAGGATTTCAGAGCGCACTGCATCAAAGTATTTTGATATGTATTATAATCTCATTCTTTATAGTTCAAAAAGGAGCTGTGAGACCAGAAGCATGTGTCACTGATGCCTTATTAGTAGATATAAGGAAAGGCTTTCAGCTATGGAAAACTACTAGGAACAAGTCTGAGCCAGAAATTGTTCCCAAAACCTCATCTACTGAAACTGGTAAGAGTACAGACCCAACTGCACCTGCAATGTGGCTACAACTATTAAACTCTAGTCTTCCATTACACAATGCTAAAAAGATATAGGTTAGGATTTTCAAAGAAGCCCAAAGGAGTTAGGAAGCTAGCTCTAAGGTGACCAGATGTCCCAATTTTATAGGGACAGTCCCAATTTTGGGGTCTTTTTCTTATATAGGTTCCTATTACCCCCCACCCGCGTCCCACTTTTTCACACTTGCTGTCTGGTCACCCTAGCTAGCTCCCTTTGAATTTCAAAGGAATTTAGGTACCTAGCTCCTTTAGGCTACTATTGAAATCTCAGACATAAGTGATTTTATTTGCATTATTTTTGATGCTTTATAATGGACAAGAGATTCTTTCTCTGCTGCTTCATTTTTCTTTAGCTTCTGTTACTTCAGCTTCCCTTACCTGAAGTTACCAGACAGTTACATTGTTGAAGTGCCTCACACCAGCTTGCTTCAAGGAACTAGTCTATATATTATGTGTGCAAGATGCTGAAATATTTGTTTTGATTTAGTTAATCAAGTGAGAAAGATGAGCTTATTTTAATGCAAACATGCATATATGCACTTTCCTATTATTTCTTTTGTGCCTTATTAGTTAGAATTTTATATGAACTAATTTAATTACGTCTTGTATTGCCAGTATTGAAAAGAATGTCTTTCATATCGGACTGTCTAATGACAAGTGTAAGTAACACACATCTGGTGGTAACTTATATTCATCTTATTTTTATACAAAAACTAGTAGCAGAAAGTAAAATTCCATTAAATTGATGAAAAGCAATACAGAGTTCAATGTATGGTACAGAAGTTCCACTGAATTATAAAGGCCTGTCCTGCCGTCTTTGTGCTCTCAAACCAGCCACTGACTTCTAGAGCTGCAGAAGCAGACCCCAAAACCAGTTTCTTAAGCAGTGCTAAGTTTTAATGAGGGCCAAATTCTCCAGCCCTTAGGCAAAATTCCAATTGTCTTCAGCAAGAAAGGTTTTCAGCATTTGGTCCTTAAATAATAAACTCACAGATGTCAAAATGGTCCGCATCAATTGGAGAAGTGTGACTAATTGTCCACCCTTATCTACTACTTACAATGGTGGAAGAATCCAAGCTGCAAGTGAAACCAGTTGAAGGGAAATGTAGTTTTGTTGTTTGCTTCTTGTTTCCTCTTTGATCATTGATTTGCAGTGATAAAGTGTAATTGTGGTGAAAAAGTACAAAGAATAGGCTGCAGGAAACAAGACACAGAAACTGAGTGTCTGATAATTAGTACTTTGAAATATAATGTAAAATAGAATATTGACTGTTTATTAATGGAGCATTGTTTAAAAATAGGTATACATTGTATTGTTTTCTATTTGTACTTGATGCATATTTTGTTCTTGTCTTTGTTCATCTCAGTACAATGCTAAACAAAGTTGCCCGTTGTGTATGTTTTGTTTTCTATTAAGAAAAAAATGGTCATGGTCATTCTTTTATTAAACTGAGCCCTCCTGGTCTCTCTAAGCACACTCCTTAGGTCTCAGGTCTCTAGAGGTCACCTGTCTCTCAGGGTGGAATCACATGATTCTCTCACTCTCAGACCTGGCTCTGGGTTGCAGTCCCTTAGTACTAACTGTGATTATCTCAACTGGTCTGACCTAGACACAGACCCTGCAGTTCTGTATCTTCCAGGGTAATGACAGTGTTAATCAGTGACCAAACAGCCTTCTGAAAGCAAAGTATTATTTATTTCCAACAAAAGAATTTCAGAGAAAACATACGTTGAAAACAATGATCAACCCTATATATATGTCTGCTTATAAGGTATCCAACCATCTCACGCATGGGAACCCTGGAAGGACTAATTCTGTAGACTCTTCCACAGTGCCCCCTCTCTGTCAGCTTGTGTCCCTGTCAGAGTTCACTGGCAACACCCTGCACAGCCCCTGGCAACTCACTCCCCTCCTTTTCCTCAGAAGGCTTTTTAACTGTTTAGTGTTGTTTTGATCCCTAGCCTCCAAGCCTGATATAACAGCTGTGTCACTTCTGTCTAGTCAGAGCCTGGAAACCTGCCATTGTTTGGTAACTGCTCCGCAATGTTTGCTGGGAGGTTGTTTATCTGAAACCATTGTGTTGCCTTACTGTTTATTCTTCCCACAGTCCCCTATTAAGCATTCATACAGGAAAGTCTAGTAATTCCAATATACAATACCTTCTCCTCACTGACCAGTCACATATCATGTTCATCAAATGGTTACGTTTCAGTACATCATTACATATCAGCTCCATGTCTGTTACACTCCCTCTCTTCTTTTCTTGAATGCTTTGACAGGTAGGGAATTAATTTAAATCTCAACTTCCTTAACTATTATCTTAGGCAGAAGACTTTGAGAAAAACCTCAGTGTAGACAAGATTGGGTGTGTGCATATGAGCCGAAATAGTTCTAAATATACTAGGAATCGTGTAATTTCTATAGAAAGTGTGAAGATTGTGTGCTCCATCCCCCAGCTCCTACAAATTCATATGGGTCTATGTGACCAAGAAAGTTTAGTATTCAACACACACCAAGCCACACCCACACAATGATGGAGAACCATGTGCATGAGACTGGAACGTGTTCTGTGCTCTTCCATCCACCTTTCCCTCCGCAACACAGCCCCATGTGTCTCAAGCCAAAAGCTGTTATGTCCATTCCCTCCCAACCTACACACACGTACACTGACACAATCCCTTGCGTCTCAGGTATTAATGTGCATGTGTGAGCCCTACAGTGACACAGCCCCGTCCAGGGGTGCTGGAACAATTTGTATAGTGGGGGTGTTGAGAGCCATTGAACCAAACCGTAAACCTTGTATATTACGGAAACCACTTCAAGCTAAGGGGTGCAGCAACAACCCCACACCTCTAGTTCCAGCACCTATGGCCCTGTCTACCACAGGCTGGAGTGTCTGTCTGTCACCAGTCAGGGATGTCACTTGCCATGGGGAAAAAAGGCAGCAGTTGCACTTCTGACATTTATTCCCCCTCCCCTGACTTTTAATAGGTCCATATGCTCTACTTTTTGCTCCACCACCACTCCAGCCTTTTCAGGATATAATATAATCATGTATAATGTTATATATGATGACACACCCTTGCCACCCTCCTCACACAGACAGAATTTGCCTGAAATGATTCCCCTGTCCCCAGTGACACAGCCTCATATGCCTCAGGCTCGAGTGCGTGTGTCCAGTGCCACAACCCCTGGTGCCTCAGGCTGGTGTGTGTGTGTATCCAGTGACACAACCCCTGGTGCCCCAGGCTGGAGAGGGAGAGAGAGAGAGAGTGTGTGTGTGTGTCCAGTAACACAACCCCTGGCGCCTCTGGCTGGAGAGGGAGTGTGTGTGGGGAGGGGGTCCAGTACCACAGCCCAGGTGCCTCAGGCTGGAGAGGGAGAGAGAGAGAGTGTGTGTGTGTCCAGTAACACAACCCCGGTGCCTCAGGCTAGAGAGGGAGTGTGTGTGTGTGTGTGTGGGGGTGGGGGGGGGGGGGGGTTGTCCAGTAACACAACCCCTGGTGCCTCAGGCTGGAGA